ATATATATATATATATATATATATATATATATATATATATATATATATATATATATATATATATATATATATATATATATATATATATATATATATATATATATATATATATATATATTAGGGGTGTAACGATACACTCAGCTCACGATACAATGTGTATCACAATATAATGTTCACGATTCGATATGTATCACGATATTTGGAATAAAAATTGAACATTTAACTGAAATGCAAATTTTACCAAGTAAACTATTTTTTATGTATTTCTTTTGTTTTAACTTGTTAAACTGAACCTTCTTTAAGAAAATAAATTAAACAGGCCTGTCTCTAGAAAATAAAACAATTTAAAAACTTCTTTAAAAATATTATTGAAATGACAGAGATAAAATTAAGGAACAATTTAAGTAAAGGTGCAAAGAATAAGCTTTCTATTCAATTGAATTTAACAGTAAGAGCTTAAGGCTTTGCTTGGTCACTTGCGTTTTTTGTGTGTGCAAAAAAAAATCCACATTTCCAGGTAATCAGCAGTTCTTTAAGATAATCCTGAACTTATGTGTATCTGTCTGAGAGGTTTTTATGGATGGCTGTGTTCATGTTGGGCATGATGAGTGACAGGGAGGCCGTCTTTTCATTACACAGGACAGTCGTGACTCTTTTCAGCAGTTCAGGCAGGTTTACTATTTCTTCGGCGTCGCTAATGTCGGCGCTATCAAGTGTATCATGTTGACGTGCATTTTTGTGTACCTCTGTACTCAAAAGGGTTAATGCTCGTCGTAATCATAACTCTAAAATGCGATATGATTGTTTAAATAATGTGTACGTTTTCGGTTTCATTTAAACTGCAAAGTGCTGTTCATACTTCCCACGCGGCTCCTGAACGATCACTCTGTTCCACAAACTGAATGTTGTTTACTACTTTATTAGTCACAACCTGCAGGTTCTGTTCACTGAAGCAGACGCGCGCGTAAGGCAAGCCGTTTTAGCATTTAAACCTTTGTTCTGAGTCTGACTATCCATAAATATATTTAATTCATATTTAATTAAATTCATTTAGAGATATCTCTAATTACAATTGTGACTAGTCAAAACTCATTTAGAGATGTCTGCAAATATTTTTCAATGGAAGTCAATGGAGGAATAAGACTAGTCATATTATATTTGCAGATATCTCCAATCTGATTTCGTACTAATACAATTGTAATTGCAGATATCTCTAATTGTCATTCTGACTAATCGAATTATAATTATGACTAGTCAAAATATAATTAGAGATATCTCTAAATATATTTATGGATAGTCAGAACAAAGGTTTAAATGCTAAAACGGCTTGCCATACGCGCGCGTCTAGCATAGTCCACTGTCTGTAGTAACAGCTCACTGTCAGCTCACGTCATGTGTGATTTTGCGGCCGCCAATACATCATTATATGAAGACAGAATGATATTTTAGGGTGAATTGTACCTTATAAATACAGTATGTGACTCTTTCAACACCATTAGGAGGTATTCATGTCGCTGTGCAAAGTATGTAAATCACTGTGAAGACTAAAACTTCGGCTATGTTTGTCTCAGTATGCGTGTCAAAAAGCGGACGAGTCTAAAGCAATGACTGTACAACCGAAATGTTGCCAGACGTCTGATTTTGAGAGGATGGGCCATGCTCTATTTCAACTCCACTCATCTTGGTCTGCCAACATTACTGCTGCTGCAATCTGAACTCACGTGCGACAGCAGGTGGAACGTAGCTCACGTGCAAACAGCTCAACTAATAAGAGAAAACGGACGTCATATCGTAATATATATCGAAATTAACTTTTTTACTTGGTAGCACCGGTGCTCCCAACGTCAAATATTTAGGAGCACCAGAAAAAAATTAGGAGCACCCACCAAAAATGAATGAGCACAGCTGCAAATTGTTTTTTAAGGGATTTATTGTATTTTAAAACAACATTAATAGGACTGACAAAAACCAGAAACAACTATCTAACTAATGCTGCGAGGACATTGATATTTGTGTGCAATAATTCCAAAATAAATAATTAGGAATTATTGCTATGGAATAATAATAATTAGGCTAATAATTTGGCTATGGAATATTAATGATGATGAAAATGACAATAATAGTAACAATGAATTCCATTTCTCATTATGATACTGCCTTGAACGTGCATGAATGTAGGTTATCTGCTATAAAAAGTCTGTTACTTTATGAAAAATAATTGTATAGTTTGCATCAAACAAAAATGAAGCATTGCAGTAAGAAATATTGATTTTGTACTGCTGTTTTTATATGCATGTCAATTTAATAAATAATATTTCTGCTACAAAACAAACAAAAGATTATAATAAATCATTAAATTCAATAATGAAAGCTGCAAAGCAGTCATCAGTAAATAAATATAAAATAATATACACCTCAAAAAAGAATAGACAAAAGAAAGTAAGTCTCACTTCTATCACTCTTTAAAAGTTTTGGTTTCAGTTTGTGTTAATTTAAAGTTTCAGTCTGAGCTGATCTTCATTTTTCTGTGTAAGTGGAAAAGCTGGCGAGTCAGCCGGCCCAATTTATGAGCAGGCAGAGCAGGATTCTTGCGCTAACCATCGGCGCAATACCGGTCTTTGTTATGAGCCGCAGTTTCAGTGTAAACTTAGTAAAGGCGAGCTTCTTTGGCGATGATATGTACAGTATTAGATTTGACTTTTAGCGGACATTTGCATTGAACACGCAGTGAATGCAACGCATGGAGATTCGGGCACCTTCTCCAAGAAGCGCGTACTCGATTGATCTCAGCTGGCGGATCATTATTCACTACGTGACGTGTCATGATCGCTTTCATCTGCGCCTCAACTTTAGGTGGGGTTTGCAAACCTGTGTGCTTTAAGTTTTTACTCTTCAGCCGTTTGCATTTCCTGTGGTCATAAAAGCTCCTTCCCTGTCATCTGACAGCGCAATACCTTGAGTGAATGACAGCTAATATGAACCAATATAGCGGCAGGGAAGAGCGATTCAGCACGTTTTTACAAAAAAAACAAAACAAGTCGCACTACAACCATTATCTGCAGTCGCACTAATGCTCCCAGATATATTATGAGGTCGCATAGATTAATTTTCGGGCGCATATGCGGCCATAATGGTCGCAATTTCGAGCCCTGATATATATATATTTAAATTAAAGTACACGTGAAATCAAAACTAACCATATTGACTTTGTTAGCTCACATTGCTAGTTTTTAAACTCTTCTGTGCATGTCATTAAGAGAAAAAAAATTGTTTGCTCTTGTGATCTTTAATTGAAATCTGAAAAATGCACTTCCTGTTTGTTTTCGGTTAAATTGTCAGATTAGGAATTCGGCATGGCTAACATACTTAACCACATCCCTTTATCTGTCAGTTTTGACAACAAACAGAAATAATGAAGGGGGGGAAGGGGTATGATAGGTTGTAATAACTCTCCCAAAACCCTTTTCCAGATCTTTCTGAATAGAATGCCTACTTTACGACATCCAATCAGCTCGCAGTTGAAAAAACAAGCCACGCCCACTGTTTTCTCATTTAATATTCCGTTTCCCTAAGGCCGTACTCACACTAGGTACAGTTGCCTCGAACCGGGCCAAAGCACGCTTGTCCCCCCTCCCGTCTCCCCGACGGCTCTCACACTACAATCGGGCCTGGGCACGCTTACGTCATCGATGCTGCGCTGTTTAGTGAGAAGCGCAGTGGAGATTTCTCTAGTTATATCGTTTCAGTCGTTTGATATAAAGTGACATGCAGTCAAATATTTCGCCAAACAGTCCTTAGGGATGCGGGGACACGCAGTCAGATATTTCGTCGAACAGATCCGCCACTTTTGCCGCTCATAAACAATCATAAAGCCCTCGTGCTGCAGGAATGAGGAGGTTTGCTGAAGGCGCGCAGCTGTCGTGCAGTGAGGGGTTTGCGTCTTTAATAAACTACGGCAGTTTGCGTTCACTGAACAGTAAGAATTATTAATAAATCCATATGAAACAGTGCCTAAAAAGTCAGGTCTCGCTTTCAGCCCAAGTGAACCGCACTCAGGCACATCCTCTTCCAACCGGGCCAGGGCCGGCCAAGTGAACCGTGCTTGAGCCTGATTAAGCGCACTCACACTTCTCAAACCATCCGGGAAACGGGCCTGGGCACGGTACGGATGGCATAGTGTGAGTAGGCCCTTAGTCACTGGCATTATCTTCAGCAGGTGAAAGCTCTAAAGGCAGACGGCTGCTTCTCACTCAGGGCTGTCTATGCTAATGAGTGAGAGGTGGTTACTTATTGGCAGGGCTTTCCCAGTATCATGACACATACAAAAGGAAAATGTCAATCAAAAATGTTTCCGTAGACGGTTTAATTAAGTGTGATATACAAAAATGTAATTGATTGAGTGTTATAATTAGAGAATGCCTATATTCGCACATTACAAGCAGACAACTGTTTTTAAACCCTTTATAAAATGATTTTTAGCATAATAGTTACCCTTTAAAATTAAATAAGTTTAATTAGCATGTCATAACTAGCATAAGGGATGTTTGAGGGTTACGAGAAGCAACACAAACACACACATAATTGCTGTCATACTTTCATTTCAGCGTAAAGAAACTAATGGGAGTGTTATCATATGGTAGACCACATGATTTTGGCAACTAAATTCAGTCCTATGGCTAATTCTGCGACATTTGTTCACATGGTACAACACTGTAAACAAACGTATGTTGCATATGTGACGCCACGTTGCCCTTTTGTTATTTCGTAGCCACATTAATCTGGCCTCTGATTGGACAGTGACCCAACAGAGCCAGTGTTGCATAATTACTTGGACCCTGCAGCATGTTTTCATGTGTTTGTCGTTTAAAATCGTCTTAAAGTTGATGTCAAATCACCGCAGAACATGAGACGTCCGTAATATTGCGGCATGATAGAGGCCGGCTTATTTTCAGAGTAATAATATGCGTAAAATGTGTTGTAGCTACACATATCTGCGATTACACACCCTTCACGTCATATCTGCCATGTCAGACATTAATAATGCAAGTAAATGAGTGTCTAGAATCTATAAAAAGACACAAAAGCGGGTCGTCACATGAAAACCACCAACGCAGCTATAAAACGCTGGCATTTCTGTCCTTTGCGCAACCGCTTCACCTTCGCGGTTTATTCTCCTTCATACTCATATTCCCACGTGCACGTGTGTCTTAGCATAAACTGTAAGAAATGCGAGATTACCTGGCTTCTATTTTCATGTCTATAATGGACTTCCCTCTGCAGATATCCTCATGTATAATGCTCGTTCAGACGTCAGGCAACAACCTGGTACGGTTGCGTTAGACTACAACTCCCAGAAAGCATTTTCGCAGAAAGAAGGGTGAGTAGAGGGTGAGGAATTCTGGGAGATGTAGTTGAAGGGCTGTGAACTCAGAAAGGGGCGGACTAGCGTTCTTCCTGTGTTAAATAAAAGCCAGACACACATGAAATATTTACCAAACGCCTACGTAAAACTCAGCAGAGAACATGTAGAATTTATAGGTTAATATAGATGTTTAAAATGTAGTTTATATTGAATCTCTTGGGCGGGAAAATCTTACTACTTTCATAAGCAACGATGGAACTACATTTCCCAAGATGCATCAGTACTATTCTTTGTCATACCTTTGGAGGCCTGTGCAAAATACGTGTTGAAATCGGTTGAAAATACACTTTAGGATGGCAAAATAATTATTTTAGTGAAAAATAGAATACAATATTAATCTTTTACTAAAGTTATTCGATTAATCACAAAGATTATATGAATTGCTGACGCAATACTGTATTTAGGGTGCTAACGGGATCTTTAACGATGCAAAAACTCTAGTAAGTAAAATAATTGAGTTTGTTTTGACTATTTTTTTAATTTAAAGTTTTTTTTTCAGTAGCATTAGTATAATTCTACTTACCGAGCAAAAATAAATTTTACATATTTTAATTTGCGTACACAAAACTGGCAGTTATTATTATTATTATTATTATTATTATTAAATTGTCCGTAGTGTATGTGTGTGATCGAGGGTGTATGGATGTTTCCCAGTGATGCGTTGCAGCTGGAAGGGCACCCGCTGCGTAAAACATATGCTGGATAAGTTGGCGGTTCATTCCACTGTGGCGACCCCAGAATAATAAAGGGACTAAGCCGAAAAGAAAATGAACGAATGAGTTATGTAGTAACACAAATGTTCACTGTACTAAAATGCTTTATATCCATACACTGTAATATTGAATCTTTTCACAAGAGGGCAATGCTGCTCTATTTTCAGATCAATAGGCCACAGCACACATCACATAAACTTTTCAAAAACTATTGTAAAATCTCAATTATTATTTACACATTTTTCTATTTAAACGACTGGCCTAATTAACTGGAAAAAATGTCAATATTTTCATTTAAAATATTAAAATCATTTGTCTTTTTTTATGCAGGATTTTACATGCAACAAACTGCTAAAGTAGTTCCACAATACATTTCCATATCAGTACACCAAGTTATTATTTTTTAAAATCGTTACTGCACTGTAAAATCCAAAAGTCAAATTTATCAAATAAAACTTTTGAACTAAAATGGTTTGCAGCAATCGGTTTCCTTAAACGGTTTGAGTTGCCTTAAGTTATTGGGTTTTACAGAACTCAGTTAGTTGGAGTTCTCTTCATTTATTGGGTTTTACTGAACTCAAATTGCTTCGTTTTCTTAAATGGATTAAGTTCACAGCACTAATTAGGATTAGTTTTGAACTTAGATTTTTTTATAGCAATCGGTTTCCTCAAATGTTTTGAGTTGCCTTAAGTTACAGTACTCAGTTAGTTTGAGTTCTCCTTATTTATTACGTTTTACAGTGAGCCAACAACCGTGTTTTAAAGATAAATCCTAACAAATGTCATAATTTTATATTCTGAATGTATGGGAACTGTATATGAGTTAATGACGTGACACTCATTTTTTTTGTCTCCATGTTGTTTAAATCAATTCAAGAAGGCTACATATTCAAAATAAATAAGCAAATTACTTGCATGCATTCTCTATTTTGAGGACCAACTCTATTATTTTTTTTTTTTTGTTTTAATCCATTTTAAGATAATTTTTAGGGGATTATTGCAAGAATGTCAATGTGGTGTAACCAAAACAAATGGTTCCAAATAGTTTATCATGTTTAAAAAATGTGAAAGCCTCAATGAAACATCGTATCAGCTAGTTTGGCATAATTTTACATTGGACATATTTATTAGTAAATAAAGGTAAATGTAGCACATTCATAGGCTTAGTCCCTTTATTAATCCGGGGTCGCCACAGCGGGATGAACCGTCAACTTATTCAGCAAGTTTTTACGCAGCGGATGCCCTTCCAGCCGCAACCCATCTCTGGGAAACATCCACACACACATTCATAAACTACAGACAATGTAGCCTAACCAATTCACCTGTACCACGTCTTTGGACTGTGGGGGAAACCGGAGCACCCGGAGGAAACCCACGCGAAGGCGAGGAGAACATGCAAACTACACACAGAAACACCGAGCCGAGGTTCGAACCAGCTACCCAGCGACCTTCTTGCTGTGAGGCGACAGCACTACCTACTGCGCCATTGCCTCGCCCTAAATGTAGCACAGTTGTTCTAAATATTATAATTAATTTGGGGAATTATGTCTGTCACCTCAAATTTCTGAAATGTCAAGAGGGTGTAACCACCATTTTTTGGAGCCATTTGTTAATATTGTGCACAAGATAGTTAGACAGGAAATTGGATCACAGAGAAGAACTCTTGATAAGACTAGTTGCTGCATGCAAAGGTTAGCAACTCTTTTTAAAATGTGAGATACTTTGACCTTTTTAAGGTATGGCCAGCTATTCTTAGTTATGCATGTCAAATGGTAAGACCCCGGAAATGCACTGATAATTGATCATTATTATAAAAATAAGTATTATAATTAAATGTTACATTTGAAATATTTCCACCAAGCCTACGTGCTTGCATAGATGTTGATGATAATGCCTGTCAAATTTGATTTTCAGTTGAAATGTCAAGCGGTGTAACTGGTTACATCATTTGACTCCTATTGCAGGAGTCTGTCTGTTGAGAGGGCCAATTTAGTCAAATTTCATTAGTTCATGATATATATATATATATATATATATATATATATATATATATATATATATATATAAGAGGGATAAGTCACACTGTAGAACCCAACAGTCAACTTTATCAAATGAAATGAGTGTAGTTCACTCAGAATTTACTGAAAGTTGATTCTCATTTGAAAAGAGGTTTGAACTCAGTATTGAATGTAATGAGTTAATTAACCAGTTAAACTTCGCGCACCATGACGTCATCGACTTTCGCTTTAAGATTTAAAGGGCCAGCATTGCACCAGACCCCCTTCAGTGGTTTCGTTTGAAAGTGTAGAATCTATATTTTATGCACATATGCATCACTTTGGTTTTTATTCTACTACAAAAAAGTTATTTACACTTAAAAAAATACACAGTATTTTGGATACCCGAGCTGGGTATTTTCCATTGGTTCATTTTCATATTTTTCATATGACACATGTACAAGTTATAGCTCAAATGAAAGCGCTTGCCGGTGCTCATACAGTTCTAGCATTCTTTTTACTGAATTATATTCATATTTTTAACAGTTGTCGAATGAATCGCGGTGTTTCCATGGCGCAGAAATGAAAACAATACATTTATGATCAATAAGCAGCCCCAGATAGCTCAGACAGCTGTCATCTCTTACCTTATGCTGTGCGCTTCAGGGCCATTTCTCCTCTGTTCTTGAGGTGATGTGCATAAGTAATCCTTTTATATGTCTGACGTGGTCCAAACACAGTGAATTATGTTCGATCAAACAAAAGAATAGTGAAATATGAAAACAATGATCGCTCCCTGTGGTTTGTACAGCACCTCTCATCAGTTGGAATACAATAACTTTTGCATAGATTATGGTGGAGACATTTTTCTCTTTTCCTATGATTACAGACATGTGCAGGAATCACCAAAATTAATTACAGCACGCTAGACCACACAGAACCTAAAAGCTACACTTTCAAATTTGAGTTTCTAAAAAAAAAATAATACAAAAAGCGCCTCTTTTTTTTAGGTGTTTGTTATAACACAGACAACCTATACAGTTATTTTAAACACTTTCAATAAAGTTTTAGGGAAATTCAAAGGGTTTTCTTTAAAATGATACCGCATTTTTGCATTTACACCTCTGCATGAGGATTTGGGAAGCTTTTAAATTTGGGTAGGCAAAATCCAGGCGGAAATCCAAAAATAACAGCAGAGTTTACCTCATTACTTCAACTCATATATATATACACTAGATGTCGTCTGGCCTATTGTTGTCTATTAGACGGAATGCGTCAATAGCGCCACCATCTTGCTACAGGGTAGCGCTCCTTTGAAATGAATGCGGGACCAAGGTACAGTGGAGGACTGTGGCCAGAAATATACACATATACACATATATCTATGATCGGGAGTTTTCCTGGATGTTAGTATGTAATTTATAAATAATATAGTATTAATAATAAATTATAATTTTACATCACTTTTCTACATTGATGGATCAGTGACCGCACGGGCATTCCTGACAAAAAGCTTGTGTTTGTGTGTACAGAAATGTACTATCCACCCTCCCTGTTAAATTTAATCGAACCCGTGTCCTGAAACACACATCCTTTCTTGCTTTCACTTCTTATACTGACGGAGGGAGCGATTCTTTTGTGAATGAATCCCCCGAACGACTCTTTCACTAACGTTAGCCGACAATACTACAGGTTTCTGGCAGCGCAGCATCTCGTTATCATATTTGTTTTGCATTGTTTGCTGATTTTATTCAACAAAACTAGCATAAGCCGAGTGTTTAGTGCGAGTTGGAGCTGCTTTGCCTTATGTTGAATGCAGTAAGTGACTGTTACCTGATTAGGACAAAAGTTCAGAACATACAAAAACAGAAAAAACTTAATATTACCTATGAAATGTTCTGCCTTTGTGCTTTGTTTTCTTTGTTTGCTCGTTACTACAGCCGTAGACAGCGCTAAAGTCCCGCATCTTCACGTAATAACACTGTCTTGACTAGTGCGGTTGAATGACATTTGTCCTGGGAGCACTGTACCAATGTGGCGGCGCTATTGACGCATGCTCGGGGTCCCCATGCGATATCTAGTGTATATATCTATGACTTCAACTTAAATGGGGTAAGTTCACAGTACTCATCAGGATTAGTTTTTGAACTTATATGGTTCATAGCAATCGGTTTCCTCAAACTGTTTGAGTTACCCTTATTGGGTTTCACAGTGAGCCAACAACAG